AACGGGAGCGTTTGCGTCGCGTCGCGGCAAAACGGACGCCTCTGGACGAGTCAGGAGGCTTTGAAGCCTCCTATTCTCGTCTATGGTGCCGCTCCGCAAACGCCCGGCCGGCGTTTGCGGTGCGGTTGCGACGCGGTTGCGGGGCGTTTGCGGAGCGGTAACACCACTCAAACTGCATTATAGGCGTTTGTGGGGGGAGTTATTAACGCTCGGCAAACGCCTAGCAACCGCCGCTAAACCGCGCATGCGGCGTTTGCGGAGCGTTTGCCGAGCGTTAATAATGCTCCGCAAACGCCGGACCAACGCTTGCCAAAAGCTATAGGGGCGTTTGGCAAGCGTTGGCAAAACAGCCTAGTGTGAACGAGCCCTTAGATTCACTATTAGTCAGTGGCTAAAAAGCAAATGCCCATGGCAGAAGTCTAAAATGTGTTCTGCACATGCTCAGTTGTATCTGCCAAAGACACTGCACGGGCTTCTAGATTTTTACTGTGTCGATTTTCTTGAAAAAAACGATTTTTAACACATTCTTAATTTTTTTGGAAATAGCAGATATTGTTTAAAGTGAAGTCCTGATCTTTGGCAAAGCAAATTTCTAAGTGAACATGTCTCTGCAGTGATTTTTCATGGTTTTAGACTTGCTTCTTAGCAAGTCTGTTTTGTGAGTCTGATTTCGGGCGTGTGTCTTTTTTGTGAATTAGATTGGACATCTGCTTATGGGCTCTGCTCAATAGTGAATTAGGTTGCAGGGTAAAAAATGACGGACGCCCATGAAAATTGGGCTTAAGCCCATAAATATGCGCCCACGCCCAATAGTGAATCAGGGCCCAAGTATCTGCGGAGAGGACAGAGCCCGCTCTGCTATATGGGCAGCCAGGAGTAAACAGACTCTGCTGTCTGTTTACAGCCGGCTACCTCCTATCTGCTCCACCTAAACGAAAGAATAGAGGGCCTAATCAGATCCAGAGGTCAGGGGTTGTAAATAGGCACAAGTCCATTTTCACCTGCCTGTCCATAGGAATGAATAGACTTTCCGATCAGGTCTGCTTGAACAACTGACAGGCGGCCCTGATCATAACGTCCATCTGAAAGGGGCTCAACAGTCATGCAATAAGATTTTTCAATTACAGAACCACAATGGCAGCCCCTACAGTTCTTTCATGACAGGTTCATGAAAACTGTAGGGGCTGCAATTGAAAAATCTTATTGCCTGGTGACCTTGCTGAGCATTGATTCATGATTGCATACCACTTGCTGCAATATATGTAATAGTGATTAAACTCTTCCATACGCTTGAATGGGAGTGAAATTTGGATTTTTACCATTAAAGCTATAATTATCAATATGTGTGACAAGATATCCTGCAGTAATGATACATTTTTTTTTATCTAGATTGTTTCAATTTGAGCTCTTAAACCGGCTGCATGATTAGGCTGTGGCAGTGTGCTTTCCTCCTCTCAAGCACCCACTAGCTCTGAGACAGGTAAAGGTAGTCACGGCACTGGAGCTAGTATGCCACAATTTAGTCATGGTATAGTTACTTCCATCAGACCCTAGCAGTATACTGGGGTTTGATGGACATGTCAATGCTGCGTATTCTTGTATAGTTTCAATAACTAGCAAGCTGTGAAGTCATTATAAAGAAATTGTGGAGAGCGCAACTTTACTCTGTTATAAGCAGCAATAATGTAATGAAGCCGAATGATAGTCCAAGGGCTTGCAAGCCCTAACAATGTGACCTAGTGGTAGAAATGATACCATGTATGCCATCCCACTAGACACTGACATTTACATTATTTGCTACACTGTCATTTACCTGGGAGATCTGCAGAGAGGAGCAGCTGATGCCCTAGGTCTGGTATCCCAAGCTCACGATTAACAGAATGCAGTTACACGATCTCCAACCGTCATATGCACCTTACCAGGTGGGCCAGCACTGGCCCTTTTAAAAGGCAATTTTGTGCTTCGCTGATACCATCATAAGATACCATACTGTCTTGCTGTATTAATGTAAGTAGCTGCTTGCACATACTTTTTTCCTTTGTTTGTACCATAACTATTTACATTTATAGAAAACTACATGTGGCATCAGAATGCCTATAACGCACGTTAAAAATGTCCATGGGTCAAAAGACAAATATGATGTCTTTATGACATTTCTCTACATTTACAAGTAACACATTGGCCATGACTTACTAAAGGCAAGTTCACTATTCAGTTTGCAAGTCGTACATTTCAAGGGAATTTGCCACCAGCTTTATGAATGTGGTAAAGTTTCAATTTTCAAAGAATACCCAATCATATGCAGGGGAAAGAGAAAAAGAATTCAAAATGTATGCAACAGCACATACAAACATTTTTTGTTGTTTGGGTTATTAACTAGCAAGGTATTGTCTAACTACATTGCTTTACAAATGAATAGACACTGACACGCGCTGAATCATCCAAAACCTTCCAATATCTGCAGAAGATTCTGGGGCCAAACTTTAGGAGATTTCTAAACTAGTTCCCAGGTCCATCCAACTGTCATTTTGAGGGTCTCCTTTAACCACTTCCCGACCACCCTATAGCAGATATACTGCTACAGAGTAGCACGGGAGCGCCAAATCACATAAACACACGATTTTGCATTTCCGGATAGGGGCACACATGCCCTACCTGCGCCACCATTCGCGGCCACAGTTGTCAATCACCAGGTCCCGGCCAATGATTACTCGCCAGCGCCCGGTGATTGCCGAGCATCTCCGACAGGGAGAACTGTTTGTAAACAAAACAGTTCTGTCAGCTCCTGCACACTTCTTTGGATGTCAGTCGTGCACAGCAGTGTGATTACAGTGAAGCACAGGGACACAGCTTATAGTGAAACAGCACACACACAGTTAACCCTTGATCGTCCCTCATGTTAACCCCTTCCTGCCCAGTGCTATTAGTACAATGTCAGTGCTTTTTTTTTTTTTTTTTTTTTTTTTAGCACTGATCACTGTATTGGTGTTACTGGGGATGTCCGTGACACCAAGTCAGTTCCCCCCAGTGTCAGAATGCCCGCCACAGTCCCACTTTAAGTCGCTGATCGCCGCTATTACTAGTAAAAATAAAAAAATTCCGGTATCTATACCGCCATTTGTAAACGCTATAAAATTTTCATGCAAACCAATTAATTTACACGTATTGGGATTTTTTTTGTAGCAAAGACATGTAGCAGAATACATTTTGGCCTAAATTTATGCCGAAATTTGATTTATTTTTATTTTTTTTTACTGTACATGTTTAATAGCAAAAGTCAAAAATATTTGTTTTTTTCCTCAAAATTGTGTTTTTTTTTTTTTATAGTGCAAAAAAAAAAAAAACAAAAAAAAAACGCACAGGCGATCAAATACCACCACAAGAAAGCTCAATTTGTGGGAAAAAAGGGACGTAAACTTCATTTGGGTGCAGCGTTACATGACCGTGCAATTGTCAGTTAAAGTAATGCAGCGCTGTAACACAAAAAATGGCCTGGTCAGGAAGGGGGGTAAATCCTCAGGAGGCCAAGCAGTTAATATTCCCAAATCCAGTCTCTAGCCATTTTGGTATGCCTTACTCTCTTACTTTTTATTAGATATTTAAAGCTTTTTTTTTTTTTTTTTTATCAGCACAAGGGATGGTACTTACATTCAAGGAGAGCTGTCCCTTGCTGGTTCACACCTGCATTTTCCAGGAATGTGCAGATATCAACAAATCGTGCTTGCAGTGCCATTAATTGTGAATGGTACTCCAAACATGGCTAGCAAACACTCAATAACAGAAAAAGGTCCTGCAGTTTTTTGGCCTATTTGTCCTATTCAAATAAATGAGCTGCATTATGCTATTGCACAAAAAAAAAAAACTTGAACAAATGTGCAATAAAAGCAACTTGGCTGTGTGAATGGGGCTGTAGTTGAAATCTAAAGTCATCACCACCCCCCCCCCTCCATTCCCCTGCAATAATACGATCAGCTGGACCTGTCACAGCACTCAAGAGTGCTGAATACACAGTATCTTCCCTTTCTCCCTAAACTCAACCATTCATAGAAGCTGTATAACAGCTTCCAATAATGAAAAGAGCCTATGAATGGAGGACAGGCAAATAAATGAAAGGTCCACCTCCCTCCAGTCATAGAGCGCTTTTATTGATGGAAGCTATAGTACAAATTCTATGAATGGAGGGGAAGAGGGGTCAAAAAGTTGGGCATAGTAAAGGGCGGTCAGGGTATGACCTTTGCACAGACACTGTCATATTGTCCTGTATGGGCAAGGGGTTAGTGTCGCTTTAAAGCTGCTACGGAGATAACAACAATTTGAGACAAAGCAGCACAGATACACAACTGACAGATGCAAATAGGTTTATTATAAGACCCATGTTTACGATTTAGTTTATTGCAAGAAAATGGCTACATCTTCAACAAATCATCGCAGCTTCTTAAAATATTTAGCATCTGTCAAGTAGATGTGGTAGGAGTTCACGTAAGAAGAAACATAACATGAACATACAATAAGTGATTTATATTTTTTCTCCAAAAGCAAATGTAGCAATAATTAGGGTTTAGAATAACATCACAAGCTGAAAAAATTCCTGGTGAATCTATTTTACATTTCAGAAACCCAATCAACGACGGGCATACTAGTAAAGGTTTACTTCAGCCAAGAATCAGGTAAGCTGGAACATAAGAACCACGATGGTCTTCTCCAGCTGACACTCTGGTGCTCCTTCTGGCTACAAGTGGCATCATGCTTTAAATACCTTTGCCAATATTCTGATTTTTGTTTTATGTGACTGGAACTCTTTAGGCAGCTGAAAGGGCATACATGATGAGTTGGTTATCCTTGATTTAAAGTCAGTGTATCATACACAGTCATGGGTTAGACAGTTTTGGATTAATAGTGAATTTTTTTTTCCCCCCCAAGTAAAAAAACGAAAATTGTTAAATACACCATTAAATATGGAGCTATATGTTAGAATCATTGTCCATTAGTATCTTCTTGACTAATTTCTTCTTTCTCAGAATTCTTTGACCCATACTTAATCTGTAGTAAGCGTCCAAGATAGCGCCAGTATTCTTTTCTAATAGTATCTTTATCTGTGGCAAGAAGTTCACAAAGCTGAAAAAGAGAGATAGACACAAAATTACTTAAGTGGCTGTACAGATAAATGGTTTTTTTACCTTAAAAAAGGGATTCTAAAAAAGGCACAAATTTTTATTTGTTATAAATAAACATGTCATACTTACCTGCTCTGTGCAATAGTTTTGCTAAGTGCCAACTGCTCACTCCCGAGTAAGCTCTGTGCGTCCATTGACACAGAGAGCAGCTCATCCCCCCCACCCCCCCTTACTGGCTGTGACTGACAGAAATACGAGCCAATGACAGTACTGCCCTTCTATCCAATAAGAAGAGAGAGATACTCGAGCACATCACTGGACCAAGGTCAGGCTTAGGTATTTGGGGGGGGGGGGGGTGGGGCAGGGAGCTGCATGCAGAATTTTTCTTTTTTTATTCAATGAATGCATTAAGGCAAAAAAAAACCTTTTGCCTTTAGAACCACTCTATTGCATTCTCTGCATTAAGGTAAAAAAAAAAACCTTTCCATGTCGGGTCCTCTCAGCTCCTCCAAAATAGTTGCCTGAGCTTGATCTCAATTCAACCCTGTACCTGTCTGCAACAGCACTCCTCTTCTCCCCCCTCTTGTCACAGGAGACTCAGGAGCCATCCCTCTGCTGTCAATCAACTCCTGTGAGCAGAGTGGGGTGGGGAGCTGAGCAGAATAGCAGAACTGCAGAAACTGTGCGCATCAATAGACACACAAAATGCAGCTCGAGAATGAGCCTGCACAAGTAGCCCGTAGCAAGCTGCTTACTATGGGTAGGGGCACTCAGAGAAGAGGACGGTCCAGGAGCACCAGCAGGGGAACCCAGAAGAGGAGGATTGCGGCTGCTCTGTGCAAAATCATTGTACAGAGCAGGTAACATGACATGTTATGTTATTTTAGAAAATAAAAAATTAAACCTTTACAATCACTTAAGTGTCAGATGAATTAATAAATCAAGAACAAAACCTGATAGGATCCAGTGATTTAAAAAAACAAAAACAAAACTGCCATTTGTAAAAGTTTCTGGCCCATTAGGTTGAAGTGTCTGTAACCATAATAGCTTAATTGCTTGGCATTTCAAGAGCAACAGTGACCATGGAGATGACTGCATACATAAAGCATGGCAAGACAATCTGTACAGAGAACCTTAAACTAAAAGAAACCAATGCTTACATTTAATTAAGAATTGAAGATCTTCCATGGATGATAGCTTTGTGAAGTTCTTTGAAGACGTTTTCTTGTGGAAACAGGGTCTTGGTGGATACAGAGTTCCACTGTATTAGTGTTCAGCAGTTCAATTTAATTACAGTTTGGTTTTTAGTCACCATTTTATTTTGCTGGTGAAGTTATGCCATGCGCAGTCATACCTGTGCAGACTGTTGCTGTTGAAAAATCAAACAATTTGGCTATAAGGGTTGCACATACTCCAGCTAAACAGGCACCATGATTTCTTTTGTTTGGATGTCTCACAAGTCATCCATTTTTACAGACCACTCATACTAACCACTGCTAAACACAAAAGAAAAGTTTAACAAAACTAAAAGCAGAGAGAATCTGGAGCTGTACATAGTAACCTATCAGCGCCTAACTGCAGCTTTTTCACTTGGTCTCTGACCAAACAGTCAGAAACAGACTTCATAAGAGTGGCCTGAGGGCCCGATGTCTTCTAATGGACCCTGTGCTCACTGCCCGGCACCATAGAGCTCTATTGGCATTTGCTATTGAACACCAGAATGGCAGGTCTGCCACTGGTGCCCTGTGCTTTTCACAGATGAGCACATGTGACAGACGTGAAAGGGTCTGGAGAAGGTGTGGAAAATGTTGTCTGTAACATCGTTCAGCATGACCGTTTTGGTGGTGGGTCAATGATGGTCTGGGGAGGCATATCCATGGAGGGACGCACAGACCTCTACAGGCTAGACAATGGCACCCTGACTGCCATTAGGTATCGGGATGAAATCCTTGGACCCATTGTCAGACCCTACACTGGTACAGAGAGGTCCTGGGTTCCTCCTGGTGCACTACAATGCCCGGCCTCATGTGGCAAGAGTATGCAGGCAGTTCCTGAAGGATGAAGGAATTGATACCATTGAATGGCCCCCATGCTCGCCTGACCTAAATCCAATAGAACACCTCTGGGATATCATGTTTCGCTCTATCCAATGCCGCCAGGTTGCACCTCAGACTGTCCAGGAGCACAGTGATGCCCTGGTCCAGATCTGGGAGGAAATACCCCAGGACACAATCCGTTGTCTCTTTAGGAGCATGCCATGTTGTCAGGCATGCATATAAGCACGTGGGGGCCATACAAACAACTGAGTACCATTTTGAGTTTCTGCAATGAAATTTCAGCCAAATGGACTAGCCTTCTGCATAATTTTTTCACTTTGATTTTCGGCGGGGGGGGGGCTTTGAATTCGGTCCTCTGTAGGTTTATATTTTTAATTTCCATCAAACAATGGGGCATCATGTTCTTAACACATTACCCAGTCCATATCAGTATAGATATCCAGCATGATATTTTTCCCTATCGAGAGATCAGATGTGTTTTCAAGGTGTTCCTTCAATTTTTTTGAGCAGTGTATTTTGTATGTTTTCTATATATTTTGGTCTGCAAGTTTTTTGAAAGGTTTTTCAAAAGCTTACACTTCAGCTCAGTTAGACACACTATAAAAGGTATTCCCAATATTTTTACTTTCCTACTACTACCCATGGCCAACACGGGACCATACTTTATTTAATGCTACATAGAAAGGTTTGCCTGTTGCAGTGTGATCATTTACAGTGCTACAAGGAATAGGAGGAATACATGACAATGCTGGAGGATGAGCTGATCACAATGAGCAGGAAATTATGTTGCAGGAGGGTTGGCAAACCATACCAACTGATCTTTTGTGGTCTGATCCTCTGGTAGGTAGCTAGAGTGGCAGCATGTGCTAGCATAATCAGGCTGTATGTACTCTAAATGTTCCTTGTTAGAATTACAAACCTCTAGCGCTTTCCTCAGCGTATCCTCAGGATCTTTACATTTCTTTTCCAACATGTCATCAAACAAGTCCACTAAAAAGGCAATAAGAAATGGGGAGCTGTGCGTTTGCTGTATACTCTGGATCTGCTCAAGAAGGTTTGGGTAGTCAGACATGCCACGATCTTGTAATATTCTAGTGGGAAAAGAAAAACACAAAACAGATATTTTGTTTCAAAAGATTTTATAATTGGTAAACTGAATGTGTACAGACTTACTTCATAAGGCAGTGTAAAATAACAGGATAGCCCATTGCAACTAATCAGAATTCAACCTTTTTTGTATAAATTTAGAAGAGTTGGATCTGTGAAAAGCAACTAGTAAATGCTCAGAAGAAAAAACACTCTTCATTTTAGTCTTATGATAAAGTTAAGAGGAAAAAAAAAATATTCTGGGGAAGGTGGGGAACCTCTCAACTGCTCAGGTTTATAATTTCTCCATCAAACCTGCCACCAATTATCCCCATCCAAAATGTTTATATTGCAAATGCAGGATTATTTTGTATGTAAGATTTAGGATATTAAAAGCAGTTGTAAAGGATAACTTTTTTACTTTTAAATAGTAAACCTAGTACACTTACCTGCTCTGTGCAATGGTATTGCACAGAGCATCCCCAAACCTCCTCTTCTGGGCAACCCTGTTGGGGCTTCTCTGCACGCCACCACAGGAAACCCCTTCCTGTGGAGGTGCATGTGCGGGCTAGATCCATAGACACAAACAGAGTCACTTGGCCCAGCCCTGCTCCCTCGTCATAGGATGTGAACGACAGCAGGAAGAGCCAGAAGGCTCCTGCTGCTGCCTATGAACTGTGAATGTAGGGAGAGACGAGAAAGCCATAATATGTGGGCACAGTGCTGATCAAGTGAGGACTCAGGTAAGTATATTGGGGGGTCCATACAAAAACTGGCGCATTAAAGTAAAAAAAAAAAATCTTGCTTTTACAACCACTTTAATGCAGATATATTTTGTCACTGCACAAAGCATATCACAGTTGCACAAATTCTGCTGATATATCAATAGTTTTATATTTAAAAATAAACTGATCTTACCCTCGCAAATAGTTCCATGCACTTTCATTGTGTGGTGCAACCTTGATCATCTCTACAGCATATCTGAATACAAAAAAATAAATAAGTAAATAGTGACTGGAAAGTTGTAGCATAAAATATGATTTACAAAATTAATAACTAAATCAAAAAAAAGATATAATACAGAAAAACTAAATGATTTATACAAACATGTACTGACAAGTCAGAGTTTATCCATTAAAGTGGATCTAAAGTCTCAAGGTTTTATTAACCTTCATGCATTTAACCTATGTATGAAAGTAAAAAAAAACCTTCTTTGTGCAGCAGCCCCCCCAAATACTCACCTAAACCCCCTCTCCATTTAGCGATGTGTACTGGAGTCTCGGCTATCCCGGGACTCCCTCTCCTCATTGGCTGAGACAGAAGCAGGCTCCCACTGCTGTCAATCACAGTCAGGGAGCCAATGAAAAGAGAGAGGGGGCAGGGCCAAGCCGCGGCTCCGTGTGTGAATGGGCACATGGGGTAGCGAGTGCCCCCTATAGCAAGCTGCTTGCTGTGGCTGTGGGGGCAACCGACAGGAGGGAGGGGCCTGGAGCGCTGGTGGGGGATTCGAGAAGAGGATGATCTGGGCTGCTGTGTGCAAAACCACTGCACTCAGCAGGTAAGTATTACATGTTTGTTACTTTAAAAAAATATATAAAAGTGATTCTAATGTATTACCTTCATTTGCACACTTCCTGTTTTGGCTATGGGACAGGAAGTGAAGGAAAATCTCCCCAATGGAACATAAATAGCAACAAAACTGACAGGGGTTAAAACTCTCTCTTAATCCAAAATGAAAAGTTTTGCCTATAGTTCTACTTTATGAAAACTATATACAGCATACTGAAGCTGTGTAACTGGGTGACTACTATTATTTTATCATCATCGCATGAAGAATTGAGATAAACAATATTACTGTTAATCAATAATGTAACGCACAGTCCAATTACGCAAGCAACACTTACTGAACCTCTCTCTCTAGAATTTGGGGATTGCTGTATCCTGATGTGTTAGAAATAATAAAGTATCTTTGGTTCCAAGCAGAATTGTTTCGCAAGTCTCTAGCCAACAGCAGATCAACATACTGTAACTCGCCATCCCACAAATTAAACCTGGAATGATATAACATGATTAAACCAAACAAGGAAAATAATAATGTGTTATACCATCAAACAAGTCATAAAACCACACAAAAAAGAATCTACATCATGTATTCATATGTATATATGGCCAACAGTTAGTGAAGGAACACATAAATGAAAGAGTGGGCTACAAGGATCTTTACAGTATATTGAGTTACACATAGAAATCAACAATCAGCAAACACCTACAGTCAGAAAAAAAACAGTTATCTTGGGTTACAGTTTGCTCCTTTTATTAAACAGAATTACAATTGAAAACAGAAAAAAACATTGGAAAAATCGTGTATACAAATGGAAAATGGGTCTTCACCCTGTTCAGGTTATTTTTTTGGTTTTTTTTAAAAAGAATAAAAAAAGTAATAAAAAAAAAATGTATAAGAAAAAGGGGAGAAAAGAAAAAGAAAAAGAAAAAAAAAAAAAAGAGAAGGGGGAGAAATGAAAAAAAAAAAAGGAGGGGAAAGAAGGGGACAAAGTGTGGGAGTGGGAGGGCAGAGAAGGCCCAGTTCTTCCATCCAATGATAAGCTCCCTCCTGACTTTAGAGGCCTACTCACTGAGAGACCAGATATAACTGCCAGGGAATCCAAATCTCACAATGCTTCTCGGGCTGGTTCTTAATTAACTGTTCCATAAGTTGAATGTCAGATACCCTTTTACGCCAATGTTCGAATGTGGGTGGAGAAATTTGTTTCCACTGGGCCAGTATACACGCTTTTGCAGCCTTCAGAAGACGTTTGATAGATAAATGCATATTATGTAAGAGATATGTGACTAGCGAGTCAGCAAAGGACCATCTGGTAAAATTTAACTTCTGATCAAAAAAAGTAATCATTGGACATTCCCAGATGTTGAAAATAGAGCCTTCCACCTTTTGACAACGCCAGCGTAGAGGGGACACTTGATCTTAAGTAAAACTTGTGGCGTTTTATCCCACCTGGTAATTTATGACCATTTTCTTTATATGTGTTTGCCAGTGAGGCTTTGTGAGCAAAAAAATTAAATTTTAGCTTTTTGGGTGGAAAAGAACTAACATTCAAATCCTGTTTCCATTTTGTCAAGAAGCCCGAGTCCCATTGATGAATCTGTCCCTTTCAACCAGTCTGTTCTAAAGCCATTGTAAAGAAAGTTTACCACAAAGACTAGTAATTCCCAAATTATTGATTATTAATTAATGCCTGAACAGCTCACCTAACACTTTCATCAACAAGTTCAAGAATGAATTGTTTAACCTATACATAATCATTTTAATTTAGCTGTTACAAAGATCTTTGTTACAGATAAAAAAAAAAAAAAAAAAAATTGTAAGAGAATTGTACTCATAATAATAGAAATACCTGAATAACCCATTGCCTATGCTGCCATGCGTGGTAGTTTTTAGCATCCTGGTTTAAAATGTCTGCAATAAACTCAAGCTCTTCTGATGGATCCTTTAGCAGCTCAACCAGCACTCTCCTGTGGTGCCTAAACAAGTAAAATAGCATTTAGAGTTTCTACCGCTTCATTTAGCAACACAGTGCAAAGTTGTGATGTTCATTAACCACGGTGAACACAGGTCATTGAGAAAAACAAAATCTATTTAATTGCAACGGTTCATTGAGGTTTGTTTTCTTCGTCCCAAAAAATCTAGTGAAAACGATACCAATTATTACTTAGAGAAGAAGTATGGCACTCTAGTGAGTACTGGAAGGGCAAAGCAGAGAGCCGGTGACTGACAGTTACTGACGCTCTGCTCACTGAAGAATGAGAACTGAGTGATCAAAGGCCTTTGACTGCTCAGTTCTCAGTCTTGGAAACATCGAGGAATAAATGCAGCATTGCACTTATGTTGCATCCACTTTTATTTTTTTTGTTAGGAAATCCATACTTCTTTTAAAAAGCATAAATCCAACCCAAACCAGTTTTCTGTAGTTCTGGAAAGCATTGCCTCCCTCTGGATCAACTGTGGGTATAGGATTGTGTATATGGAGGTTGTGTGTGTGTATTTTTTTTTTTTTTCCTCTATTGGTTGAATTAGATGGAATTGTGTCTTTTTCAGCCAGACTAGCTATGTACCTATAAAAGATCAGACTGTCAGATTTTAATGATCTGTGTCCCTAATGGGTATTCGTTTTATACAGTATCTGTAATGAGGACCATTGTCACCAGAAGAGAAAATTAGAGCCATTTTGAAGGACAGTTGTCACTGGGACAGAATGTGATGGGGAATCTTTCATTGAGGGCATCTACCAAATGATGGCATTCCCCCCCCCCCTCCCCCATTTTGAATAATTTCCATTCATGTCATGTGTCTGTCTGGACAGGAATTGCAGTGAAGTCTCCAAGTAGGGGAAACAGACCACAATAAAAAACTCAACAGGCTCCAATCCTTCTCTGCACTATCCCAAAAAAATTCCAAGCAAACAGCTGAAAACATAGTTGAAACATATCTATTGTCTTAACCACAAAAAAAAAAATGTCAATTTCTTCTGCCAGTCTTGAAATCCAAGCTCCCCTGTAATGCATGCACACATTCCAATGCTTTGTCTCTTCAAAAACACTGCAAATACAAAAATTTCCTGTTGATCTGCCAGAAATCCAGTGAGTTTCTAACAAAACCTCTGCTGCCCCAAAGTTCCAAGCTGAGTTTTCAACCCTGCCTTGATTCTCCCCTGCTTGACTACAGAACACACTCACCTTTCCTCATTCCCATAACATATGGAAGTGGAAGGAGGTGTTCTAAAAATCCAGCAGGGAAGAACTAGGCAGGACTGACAACACTGCCTGAGTTTTCAGTCCAGCAGGAGCACCTTGTCATCAGTTCAAACAGGAAGTAGGAAGGAGCGCACTAGGAAAAATATGCACATTTCTCACAGATGTACCGAATGCGTTTTGTTTTTTATGAGCACAGACATACCCCAGGGTCCACAAGGTTTTTTTAAAACCATCTGTGCACTGCACACTGAAGGAGGTCACAGCTATACGCATTTCATTCTTACCAGACTTGGTAATTTTTTTGGCTGGTCTTCAATAATTGCTGAGATATAGTTCATTTCCTCACGGAGGTCCTTCTTCAGTGACTGTAATAATACTCTTCTGTAATGCCTAAAACAGGGATAATAGAAGACTGTCTATAATACATAATAGGCAACCCAGACTAAGTCATCACATCTGACATAGTTTATTAGCTCATGCAAAAGTTTTGCACTGACATCTTCTAGGTTATGTAAAAATGTTAATTCAACCCTTATATGATAGAGACACTGAGGCCGGCCAACTAGTGCTTTCATTCATTACTCACCATACAGTGTAGTTTGCAGCATTCAGCTCAATGGCATCCGCTGTCAGTTTAAAAGCTCTTTCACTTCTCTCATCTCGCTGAAGTACAGCACGGAAATAATCATAAACATCCCGAACTGAGAAGCAAATGTAATTACAATTAACAATGTACCGAGTCATCACTGAATACTTTTAAAGCGGGTCGCAGAAAGTTACAAATCATTTGGCAGGTAAAGCTATATTATATGCATTTCACGTGTGTATTCATCAGTTTGCCTGAATTTCAGCTTTAAAGCCCAACTCCAGCCAATATGTTTATTTTGTTTTGGATAGGGAATGGAATGTTTAGAGCCCTTGTAATGTTTTTTTATGTCTATGTCTTTTGGGGAGATTCCCCTTATTTCCTCTCTGGAGAGGATGTGGTGGAAAATCTCCTTGATGGGGACAAAAGTATAAAACAAAGTATGGAGGTTTTAGAATTTCAGACAATGTTTTTATTGTTGTCTGTACCTTCCTGTCCCTTAGATAACTACACACTTATTTCTCCTACAGACGTCACAAGGACAACTTTCCCCACTGTATACTAAAACCTTTTGTTAAAAAAAAAAAAAAAAAAAAAATAAATTGTGGCTGGCTTTAAAGGTATATCAACTACATGTATAAATGTCATATTAATCACGCAATGCTACTTTCATTTTGGTACAGATAAAGATTATATTAGGCATACTTAATTCTTGTTTGTCCCACTACTGAAAATGCAGACTAAAATTTCCAAATTCAAGCAAAAAAAAAAAAAAAAAAAAAAAAAAGCTCACAATGTGGAAAATGTCTCACCTCTGAGACACGGAGAGCTTTTCACTAAGTGATAGTTCTAGACTGGTACATTAACTCAGGGATGGACAATTACCAGTAGCCACACCAACTATAAAAAAAAAAAAAAAAAACTCTCCGGTCGTTGGGTCACTGAGAGCAGCACAGGGCTCAGGCACTCAACTTGGAAACTGTGTAATCTGCAGGCATTAGCCATCAGTACGACAGCTTGGTTCCTACTCCGCATTCGTATATGAATGAAAGCTATTAGTGTAGGCGTTACCTGTATGCTGACTGAGGGGTTCCAGAATGTCCTAATCTTACATGTGTACTTCAGAATCCTGTCCATCCTCCGGGATGTTGTGTGTGGGGGATTGGGGGGGGGGGCTGAGAGATCAAATTTTATTTTTCCACATCAGCATCACATAGGGCTCCTCCTGCATGTTGTATGATCAGACTGGGCCCTGGGAGTCCTAATCTTAAATATTACAATTTGCATCCCATAAAGGTAAAGGAGGAGGGGAGATATCCTGTGTGGTGACAAAGTGACCACCGGTGTGCAGGAAGGTCCTGTGTGGTGACAAAGTGACCACCGGTGTGCAGGGAGGTCATGTGTGGTGACAGAGGGGCTGTTGATGTTCAGATGGGTCCTACTTGTTGACTGAGCGACTGTCTGCATGCAGAGGGGTCCTTTACAGGGATGAAACAGCTGGTGTGCAGAGAAGTCCTGTGTAGCGATTAACCCTTAGTGAACCCTAGTTTTTATTAACTGCTTTATTTCCAAAATACTTTTATATTGATTCATATCCCCCTGATGAAGCTGCGTCATCTGCAGCGTAACGTGTAGGGGAGGAGTCTTGACGTCACCCGGCACCCAAGGAAGGCAGGCACATACGCTGAACGGCAGACACGCTGGCAGTAAGAGATTGTGGATGATTTTATACAAAATGCTTGTTGTTTCTAAATACATGTGAGTGCATATGGGCACGTAATAAAGGTCTTTTATGTAAGGATAAGACACTATGTTTATGTCTCCTTTATACTGAGGAATATTCTTGGGAGGAGATTGAGCAAGGGATTCCTGCGGTGGTGTGAATAGGAGAGGAGAGTCACGTTTCCAGCAGCAATTGGGAGATACTCACCACTATTGCTGTGATGCAATATATGATCCATAGTTCCAATAGGTGAACAAAAGCGAGTTTTGCCTTTTAGGAGGCATCAAAGGAGGTGAACGCATATTGAGATCACAATAAGAAGTCACTTGAAATGAAGATTTGTTCACTTTTGAATTTGTCACGTTTGGACTGATCACATTTTTTTAGTATATTTTCAATGGTCACTTATTATTTGGATATAATTTGTCTTATGATAACACAAAGGATTATATCACTAATGTATATGTTTTGAAGGTTAGTTGTTTTATTATATGATGTAATGGTTTTGGGAGCGCGGCACTATTGTTTGTAAAGTGCTAAATGAATAAAGCTCATTTTTTTGCATAGGAGTAGAGGACTAAACAGTGACCCCTTAATCCATGCTCCAGCAGGACCCTTCAGCAGTGTGACTTCAGTAGCCTCTTCTCTAAGGCACTCCTGGCCATGCATGGTTAAATGCACATGCGCAGCTCAGAGTATGTTTATTTTTTTAAATATATTTTATTCAGTTTTTGCATTACAAAAATCAACTTTATACCCATACAATTCACATATACACAAATTCCAGTTAAAATGATCCTATTCCCTACCCTCCACCCCCCCCCCCCCCCACCAAATACTCCTGTCCATATCCCGATTCCTTCCTTCCAATTCCTTCCTTCTTTTCCTGTCTATAACCATGTCCCTTCCCTCCTACCTCCTCTCTCTCTTTCCTTCACTTACCCCCCCACAGATACTTAATCGTACACTCTCTAAACTTTCCTGCTTATACTCCAACCACTTCCAGGTATCTTTTGGATATTTTAAAGTCTAACCATCTGCTCCACATTTTCCTACATTTTTCCATTTTATCCTCCTCCATATGGTATAGCTCCTTCATCCAGTTTATATATTCAACTCTATTTAACCAGTCTTATTTTTGGCGTCTCTGTAGCTTGCCAGAACTTGGGAATAAGGCCCTTAGCCGCACTAATTAGATGGTATAGCTCAGAGTATGTTTATGGCATCAGTCTGTGCTGTGATGAAGTGACTTCTGTGCATGGGAGTGACATCATTGCCGCACGACCAATCAATTTGAACAGAAGGAAGACAAGGAGAAGATGGAAGTGTCCCAGACCTGCTGGAGTGCCGACTGGGCAGAGCTGAAGGGCTTCATTTGACCTCTTTGTCATATTGTGCTAATATGCATTGCATGCTAGCACATTATGGTATAAAAAAATTTAGTGGGGTTAAATTTTACTTTAATAGGCCAAGATTGTACTTGATGACTAAGGGACCTCCCACAGATAGACTGCTGGAGGTTAAAGACAGTGCCAGAACCGGCCAACGCAGGGGTAAAGTAAGAAATGCAGTCTTTTCATCTCTTCCTAACCTTAATAAGCATTTGACCCTTGTAGCACAGAGGGCCCACTTCTTTCTTCCACTCTGGAATTGGGCTTTGAAGATGAAAGTTTTGATACTCCCTCGGCTCAAGTTTCCATTAGAAGCTATAGATCCCGTGTTTCCCATTCGACGCGGCACTAGACAGGGTTGTCCACTTTCCCCAGGAGGAGAGCACACCAGGTACAGTGAATTGCGGTGTCCAGTGCATCAGTGTACAATGCGTTGCACTGTCCAGTGCATTTTAAATATTGTATTGTTTTTCCTGTTTTTTTGCAGTACAAATAAGATATGTGCAGTGTGCATAAGAATCTGTTCATATATTTTTTCAAACTACAGTCCAGCCCCCCAACAGTATGAAGGTCTGTGATCTGGCCCCCTGTTTAAAAAGTTTGAGGACCCCTGGTCTAGAGGATCCAATAGCTACTCTACAGAATTCTTTATCTCCTGTTAATAATTTATGACTGATAAATTTTGCGTTGTGTTACAATCTATAATTTTTGACAGGACATTGTTCATTAATATTATCTGTTATCTGGAAAATGTTCAATAAAAACTATTGGAATATACAGATGAAAGTTTTGCATTAGTAAAACATATGTATTGAAAACTGTGCTCTATAACATTTTAATGAAAAAGTAAAAGATAGGCATTATTTACCTATTTAGTGCTTATGTAAATGTATGTATGTAAAAACATACATACAGTACATTTAGTACATCCCTGCAAAACATGCACAAATTGCCCATTTTTTTTACCCCTTTAAAAATACTGCAAGTACAAAAAAAAGTTTGGAGTTAAATAACGTCTTTTCGGCACTATCCCAACTATCGTCATTAGCCCTGCCTGCTACAAAAGTCTGCCTACCCCATTTCCCTTCCCAGTCTGTCTCTTTTTTTACAAGAATAAATTGATTTCTCTCCCAGAAAAAAAAAATGCTGCATCCTTGACAGCATGCGCCCAGGGACAAATGCCTGGAACACAGACTGCTTGTATTCCAATCATTTGTCCCTGGGCACATACTGCCCCAAATGTCTGCACCACAATGTGCATTGTCCTGCAGGAGTAGCTGTCAGCCTCTCACAGAGTATGACAGGTTGCAGGCAGTGGGGCTGGATGGCGTACTTGTGTCAGAGCCCCATGCACCGGGGCGAAATGCCCAGCATGCATGGAGCCTAAAGTGGTAATAAACTCAAAAACTAAAATGTAATATATTTGCAGTTTGCTAATCCTTAAATGCGTTGGCTGCAAACATTTTTTTTTTTTTTAGTTTTTGGTGATCTGGCAAGTAACATTTCCTGTCTTGGGGTTTCTCCACTTGAAGGAGCAACAGAGGCACCTTTGGACCACAGTACTGTCAATCTGTGGAGAAGGTAGTGTTGGATACATTAGCAGATTTAGACAAACTTACATAGCAAAGTTGAAAAAGGGCAAAGTCAAAACAGAACACTTTTTAAGCAGTTACAGCAGCAGATTTTTTTTGTTTCCGGGATAAAGGCTCTACATAAAATAAATAAAAACTGACTATTGTAAGCACCCCTGTCAGCATCAATGGTTTGTCTCAACCCTCTAACTGCTACTTTTACTGGACAGCTTGGTCTGTTGAGCACAAAAGAATACAATTACAGTTATTTACAGCATTCCTTAAAAGTGGAACTTTACCCATAACAACTTGATAAAAAATAATGTTCTTTAGCAAGGAACATACATTCCATATTAAAAATTATTCTAAAATTAGCGTGTGCTGTAAATTGTCTTCATTGTTGCTCCTGTTTCTTCTTGCTGGCGGCTGCCATTTTGCTGAAGCCCAGAGCCCCTGAGCAGCAGTAAATCTTTAGGCTGCCAACAGATCAGCCTCTAGTGGTTCTGATTTTTAGCACAGTGCCTAAAAAGAGACAGCAACTGAGCATCTGCAGAGCAGGGGGAGACAGTATATTAGCCCTGGTTCACACTGACTCTGACTTTGAAGTCGCACAATTTCAAATCCGTTTGTCAGTGTGATTTCAAGTGCAATTTGCTTGGTATCTGTGCGACTTCATGCAGAGATGTCTATGCAAGTCACACCTGAAATCGCAAAAGAAATGTGCAGGAACTTTTTTTGCAAATGAGTGTGGCACCGCAAAGTCAGAGTTGCATCGATTTGAACAGTTCCATTGCCAACAATAACGTTTGACTTGTCATGCGACTTGGAACTGTCAAATCGCATGACAAGTCATACCTGTGTGAACCAGGGCTTACTGGATTTAAAATAGTATAGACCCTTACTTTTAATGTTTTATATACCTATACCTGCAAAAGGGGCCAGCATGAACTAATCTATAAGGACTTCATTTTCTGACTAAAGTTCCACTTTTAATGTACCGTATTTTTCGCTCCATAAGACGCACCTGACCATAAGACGCACCTAGGTTTTAGAGGCAGAAAACAGGAAAAAAAATTCTGAACTAATGGACTGCAGACACAGTACAGGAGATGACCAGAGAGACAGCACAGGGGATGCAGAGACTGCGGACATAGTACAGGGATGACCAGAGACTGCGGACATAGTACAGGGATGACCAGAGACTGCGGACATAGTACAGGGATGACCAGAGACTGCGGACACAGTACAGGAGATGACAGAGACTGCGGATGACAGGGATGACCAGAGACTGCGGACACAGTACAGGGATGACCAGAGACTGCGGACATAGTACAGGGATGACCAGAGACTGCAGACATAGTAAATGACCAGAGACAGCACACAGGAGACTGCGGACCAGTACAGGGATGACCAGACTGCGGACAGTACACAGGACTGCGGACATAGTACCACCAGAGACTGCGGACAGTACAGATGACTGCGGACATGTACCCAGAGACTGCGGACATTACAGGGATGACCAGGACTGGGACAGCACAGGGTGACCAGAGACTGCGGACAGCACAGGGATTGACAGGTACTGCCAGTATAGATGACTCTTACCTTTGGGGAGGTGGGGAGCGGGTACCTGCAGGTACCCGTTTTTGTTTGATCTTACCTGTTCCTCGATCCAGCCGCGCGCTGTCTTCCCGGCTTCTGTAATGGCGCTCGGCATGACAGCCGGGTGCCCAGTGCGCATGAGCGAGAAGCACTTGCGCTTTGTGATTGGTCCAGCGGCTTCTGGGATCTGTCATGTGTCCCAGGTACCGCCTTACCATTCACAAAAAGCACCGCTTCTTGCGCATGTGCACGTGGCACCCAGCTGTCATGCCCAGTGCCCACACTACAGAAGCCGGAAGATAGCGCGCCGCTGGATAGAGGAACAGGTAAGATCAAAGAAGTAAGAGCGGGTACCTGTCAAATTCAGGTACCCGCTCCCCACCTCCCCAAAGGTCAGCAGTCATCTCCATAAGGTCCCGCTGCAGAGCTGAGCGGCCGGCCCGGTATTCTGACACGGCCGCGGTGGAAATACCGGACCGGCCGCTCCATATTCGCTCCATAAGACGCACTGACATTTTCCCCCCTTTTTTGGGGGGAAAAAAGTGCGTCTTATGGAGCGAAAAATACGGTAACTGTTTTAGGAAGCAGTTAAATTGATGGGTTTAGTTCTGCTTTAAAGGAAATTGAAAAAAAGGAACTTCCTGGCCAGATCATCAAGTGAAAATAAAGAGAAAAAAACCCTAAAAAAGGAAAATTAAGGCAGCCACCACAGCCAAGAATTGGTAACCTGTAATAGAAGTTGTGTAAAAAGCTGTAATAGAAGTTCTCTAAAAAAAACTCAAATTCCTCTCTCTGCAATCTTTTTATTCTTAGCTAAGCTGGAGGGTCTCCAATTCTCTCTCTATATAAACCCAGACATACCAAAGTACCTACTTACATTTCTCGCTATAAACAATCTGAACAACTGGGTTAGGCCCATCATCTTGCGGGACAGGAGTCACATCTGCCCATTCTTTCCTTTCTCTGTGAATACAAAAGAACACACAATCTGTGTAATATAAACAAATGTATATACAGTATATAATATATTTTGCCAGATGTTTCTCCATTTTCACAGTCAACAGAGGACTCCGTAGCCTCCACTGTTAACATATATATCTGTAACATGAGCAAACATTCACAGGAAAAGTTGTTATGGGACATGCTATGTCAGAAAACACGTGACTAGATGCAGATGCCATTGGTTACAATAGGGATTCATGGATTTCCTCCTGGAACTTCATGTTCCATTCATACAGTTGCACTTTAAAGTATGGAGAACACGCTAATGCCAGTGCATACAAGTACCACTAACAGAAGGCTGACTGCTGATTACGGGCCCTTCTGGCACCCAATACCCGCAAGGAAGGACACTTCTAGCACCTGATATCCACAATGACAGGCCCTTCGCATAGCACAACAATGGGTTCTTCTAACGCCTAGTGCCCACAATGAAGGATCTGTCACACACTGAACACCTGCAACGTAGGACCCTCCACCCACCCAATGCCCACAGTGAAGGGCCCTTCTCCCAATGCCCACAACGAAGGACCCTTCTCCCACAACAATGGACCTTTCACCCACCCAATGCCCACAACGAAGGGTCCTTCTCCCATCCAATGCCCACAACGAAGGGGTCCTTCTCCCACCCTATGCCCACAACGAAGGGTCCTTCTCCCACCCAAATGCCCACAACGAAGGGTCCTTCTCCCACCCAATGCCCACAACGAAGGGTCCTTCTCCCACCCAATGCCCAAATCCTTCTCCCACCCAATGCCCACAACGAAGGGTCCTTCTCCCCACCCAATGCCCACAACGAAGGGTCCTTCTCCCACCCAATGCCCACAACGAAGGGTCCTTCTCCCACCCAATGCCCACAATGCCCAATGCCCACAACGAAGGGTCCTTCTCCCACCCATTGCCCACAACGAAGGTCCTTCTCCCACCCAATGCCCACAACGACCCAACAACGACGGGTCCTTCTCCCACCCAATGCCCACAACGAAGGGTCCTTCTCCCACCCAAACAACGAAGGGTCCTTCTCCCACCCAACAACGAAGGGTCCTTCTCCCACCCAATGCCCACAACGAAGGGTCCTTCTCCCACCCAATGCCCACAAACGACGGGTCCTTCTCCCCACCCAATGCCCACAACGACGGGTCCTGCCCACCCAACGAACGGGTCCTTCTCCCACCCAATTGCCCACAACGAAGGGTCCTTCTCCCACCCATTGCCCACAACGAAGGGTCCTTCTCCCACCCAATGCCCACAACGAAGGGTCCTTCTCCCACCCAATGCCCACAACGAAGGGTCCTTCTCCCACCCAATGCCAACAACGAAGGGTCCTTCTCCCACTCAATGCCCAATGCCCACAACGAAGGGTCCTTCTCCCACCCATTGCCCACAACGACGGGTCCTTCTCCCACCCATTGCCCACAACGACGGGTCCTTCTCCCACCCATTGCCCACAACGACGGGTCCTTCTCCCACCCATTGCCCACAACGACGGGTCCTTCTCCCACCCATTGCCCACAACGACGGGTCCTTCTCCCACCCATTGCCCACAACGACGGGTCCTTCTCCCACCCATTGCCCACAACGACGGGTCCTTCTCCCACCCAATGCCCACAACGAAGGGTCCTTCTCCCACCCAATGCCCACAACGAAGGGTCCTTCTCCACCCAATGCCCACAACGAAGGGTCCTTCTCCCACCCAATGCCCACAACGAAGGGTCCTTCTCTGCCCACAACGAAGGGTCCCCACATCAAATGGTCCTTCTCCTACAATGAAGGGTCCTTCTCCCACCCAATACCCACAGTGAAGGGCCCTTCTCCCATCAAATTCAAACAATAGGCATGTTCCTTTAACATCCACAGCCCAAACCAATGGGTCTTTCTTACACCGAATGGCTGAAAGCCCACAAAGTCAGGTCGTTCTCAAACTGAACACTCACAAGGATGGGTCCTTCTCATACCCACTGCATATACAGGCAGGCACACCCTGCACCTTCTGCCCACACTGACATATCTACACCCATTCCCTGCTCTCACGTTTCTACAAATATCTGTCACATCTCCCAAGATCAGTGTAGATATTAAGTCTGAATGGCTTCCAATACCATGTGATCTCTCATTCAAGTGTAGCAGTACCTGTAGGGAATATAGCGCTCAGACAGGTTGTCATAATCCATCTCGGAGTCCCCTATCCCCTCCATCTCAAAGTTTTTATACTCCAGGTCCTCCATTCCGGAGTCCATTCCCGTATTCTGCCTGCACTGGTCCCCATCCTCCTCTGCCTGGCACTGCATCCTCTCCGCTGGGAAGAGAGTAATAGATACACAGGAAGAGGAAGCTGTACTTTACCCACAGCCGCCAATCACTTCTCTCTTCCTGGACATCCACGCATGAGCCCTATGCACTGTCTGCTAGAGGCAGTATGTCCTGCAAGCTGGTGTCTGCCAATGGCGGCCATTTTTCCGAAGACCAATGCACACAAAGTGCCAGCCAGAAGAAGAAACTTGTATTTCAGTGCGAGTACCCCTGATGGTTTCGGTGAAGGTGTACCTAGAGAGCTACAAGACAGTGTATGTGCTTGTGAAAGGTATCCCCCCCCCAACTGCACCCCATCTTACACATATGTAGAATCCGAGGGTCCTGCAGGTTCAGGTCAAGTCCCACAGCAGCAGGACACAAATGATTGCCTGCCCAGGCTGTGCAGCTGTTAGGTCACTTGCAGAATTTCCCTGTGAACACCAATGTTTGGACATTCTGCCTCCCGCTGGACAGAGATATTGAAATATTTTTCCCCTCACTAACCTCAAACACAAATGGACTGTTTCTGTTTATTTGCTGTGATAATAATAATTAAAAAAATAATGCCTAACGCTCACCAATGTAGTGGTAATTCAAAACTAAGCTTCAGTACTCAAATTTATGAGAAAAAATTGCACCACACTGACAAAAACCTGTTAAAATCAATGAATAATAATAATAATGTGCGGTTCATTTCGATCCAAATCAAAATTCAGACAGAATTCTCATTATTTGGAGATTCAACTGTATCTGAAATACAATTGTAACAAATTTAAGCAAATCCGAAATAACAAAAAAAAAATTTTTTGATCGAAATTCAAATTGAATCGCATTTGCAAATACATTCGAAATATAAACATTGCTGACTATTGCTGATTTCTGTCAAAGACACTGGGGTTTATTTACTAAAGCTGTAAGAAAATAGAGTAAAACTGAATAGAATAGAAAATAGGAGAACAGAATAGAAAAGAATAGACTAGAAAATAAAAGAATAGGAAAAAATAGAATAGAATAGAATTAAATAGAAATAATATAGCTGCCTTCCAAAATTTGAGTTTAAAAAAAAAAATAGAGTAGAATAAAACAGAATAGAATAGAAAAGAATAGAGTAAGAACAGAATAGGAAATAAAAGAATAGAAAAAGTAGAATAGAAAAGAATAGAATAGAACAAAAATTAATAGAATAGAAAAGAATATAAATTAATAGAAGAGAAAAGAATAGAGTAAAACTGAACAAAATAGAATAGAATAGAAAAGTATATAATAAAATAGAATAGAAAATAAAGAAATAAAATAAAAGAATACAATAAAATAGAATAGAAAATAAAATAGAACAGAAAGTAAAAGAATATAATAAAATAGAATAGAAAATACAGGAATAGAATAGAAAATAAAAGAATATAATAAAATAGAAAATACAGAAATAGAACAGAATAGAATAGACCATAAATTAATAGAATGGAATAGAAAAAAAATAAAAAAAAGAAAAAAACAAAATAGAAGAAAAAGTGATAGAGTAAAAAAGAACAGAATATAATAGAATAGAAAATAAAGGAATAGAAAAAAAATAGAACAGATTAGAATAGAATTAAATAGAAACAATATAGCTGTCTTCTGAAATTTGAGTTTCAAAAAGAATTGAGCAGAATAAAACAGAATAGAATAGAAAAGAATAGCATAAGAACAGAATAGAAAATAAAAGAATAGAAAAAGTAGAATTGATTAGAATAGAAAAGAACAGAATAGAATAGAACAAAAATTAATAGAATAGAAAAGAATATAAATTAATAGAATAGAAGAGAAAAGAATAAAGTAAAACTGAACAAAATAGAATAGAAAAGAAAAAAGTATATCATAAAATAGAATAGAAAATAGAGGAAGAGAATAAAAGAATACAATAAAATAGAATAGAAAAGAAAATTATAGAATAGAAAGTAAAAGAATAGAATAATATAGAAAATACAGAAACAGAAAAGAATAGAACATAAAATAATAGAATGGAATAGAAAAAAAATAGAAGAAAACAAAATAGAAGAAAAAGGGATAGAGTAAAAACGAACAGAATAGAAAATAAAGGAATAGAATAGAAACAAAAATAATAGAATTGAACATAAAAGAAGGGAATAGAAAAGAATTGAATCAAATTAAAAAATGAATAGAAATAAAAGAATAGAATAGAAAAAAAAAATAACCGGTTTTCAAATAGAACAGAACCAGTTATTCTTCACAATGAATTTGGATTGATTCAATATTTTCAATTGGAGTTCGATTTAATCACTTTGAATCCATTGGAAAAATTTGAATTCGGTAGAAAACGAATAAACATAATGAAATGAAACTAAACAAATTTTGTTACGAATGCAATTAAATGAAATTAGTAACTTAACAAATCCATCCAAAACTAAACAAGTGATTTTGTTCTGTACATGTCTAATAAATAACTATGCTGAGTAATCAGCAGTGACAACACAATAAATCACAAAACTAGTGCATGCATTAATAGTAGTCAATAGTGCCACAAAGTGCTAATATATGTGCAACAACCACAAAAAAAGTTCATAAATGATCTTCAACAACCGCAAATGTTTGAATCCATCTTGCATAAACTCATTACAGTGAACAGTGTGCAAGTGAAGGAAATAAATATTTGATCCCCTGCTGAATTTGAATGTTTGCCCACTCACAAAGAAATGATCAGTATAAAAATAGAATGGTAGGTGTGTTTGTAACACTGAGAGACAGAATAGCAACAAAACATTCAAAAGAAATGCATGTCTAATAAATGATGCACTGATTTGCATGTTCATGAGGGAAATAAGTATTTGATCCCCTATCATTCAGCAGGATTTCTGGCTACCAGGTGTCTTTCATACAGGTAACAAGCTGAGATTAGAAGCAGTCTCTTAAAGGGAGTGTTGCTAATCTCATTTTGTTACCTGTATAAAAGACACCTGTCCACAGGAGCAATCAATCAGATTCCAAACTCTCCACCATGGCAAAGACAAAGAGCTGTCCAAGGATGTCAGGGACAAGATTGTAGACCTACACAAGGCTGGACTGGGCTACCAAACTATCGCCAAGCAGCTTGGTGAGAAGGTGACAGCAGTTGGTGAAATCATTCACAAACGGAAGAAACACAAAACAACTGTCAGTCTCCCTGGGTCTGGTGCACCATGCAAGATTTCACCTCGTGGAGTGTCAATGATCATGAGAACCATGAGGAATCATCCCAGAACTACACGTGAGGATCTTGTCAATGATCTCCAGTCAGCTGGGACCACAGTCACCAAGAAAACAATTGGTAACAAACTACGCCGACAAGGATTGAAATCCTGCAGTGCCTCAAGAAAGCACATGTCCAGGCCCATCTGAAGTTTGCCACTGAACATCTGAATGATGCAGAGGAGGACTGGTTGAAAGTGTTGTGGTCGATGAGACCAAAATCGAGCTCTTTGGCATCAATTCATCTCACTGTGTTTGGAGGAGGAAGAATGCTGCCTATGACCCCAAGAACACCATCCCAACTGTCAAACATGGTGGTGGAAACATTCTGCTTTGGGGGTGTTTTTCTGCTAAGGGGACAGGACAACTGCACTGCATCAAAGGGATGATGGACGGGGCAATGTACCGTCAAATCTTGGGTGAGAACCTTCTTCCCTCAGCCAGGGCATTGAAAATGGGTCGTGGATGGGTGTTCCAGCATGACAATGACCCAAAACACATGGCCAAGCAACAAAGGAATGGCTCAAGAAGAAGCACATTAAGGTCCTGGAATGGCCTAGCCAGTCTCCAGAACTTAATCCAATTGAAAATCTGTGGGGGGAGCTGAAACTTCGAGTTACCAAACGTCAGCCACCAAACCTTAAAGACTTGGAGAGGATCTTCTAAGAGGAGTGGGCCAAAATCCCTCCTGAGATGTGTGCAAACCTGGTGGCCAACTACAGGAAACGTCTGACCTCTGTGATTGCCAACAAGGGATTTGCCACCAAGTACTAAGTCATGTTTTGTGGAGGGGATCAAATACTTATTTCCCTCATGAACATGCAAATCAGTGCATCATTTGTTAGACATGCATTTCTTTTGAATTTGTTGTTGCTATTCTGTCTCTCAGTGTTACAATACACCTACCATTCGATTTTTAGACTGATCATTTCTTTGTGAGTGGGCAAACATTCAAAATCAGCAGGGGATCGAATACTTATTTCCTTCATTGTACATCAAACGTCTACTTTCTTGCTGTTCTCTAGCCATCCCTTTACATTCATTTTATGTTTCTTTTGTGAGTTATTGGAGTCTTTTTAATTTTTTTAACATAATATTTCTATTACTATTATATTTCTATATTATTATTATACAGGATTTATTTTGTTTTCTTGCTCACAATGCTGTCACCTGCTTGACCTGCATCACAAAGCCAACAGATAGCATAGAGTGCAAAGAACATTGCAACTTAAAAAAGGCAAAACATTTCAAACAACATAATCAGAGTACTTGGCAGGCATGCGTCCTCTAGTGCAGAGGTTTTCCAACTGCGGCCAGGGAGCCAGATGTGGCCCTTTACTTGCTTTTATGATGGAGAGCTGGCAACCGCAGCAGCTTTCAGAGAGTCCGAATGGAACACACAGGGTTGCAGGAAGTTCCGATGTAACTGTCTACAATGTCTACTTTACAACTGTACAAAGTTCTTCAGATACAACATCATACAGTGGTGCCCAGGAAGAGGTTGCTGTTGATAAGGGGATGGGCCTCCAGCTTACCACCTCTGGTGTTTTGTCTTTATACACAAAGACTCTGTTCCCAGGCTTTACAAAAAAAATACCAGTCATCAAAAGTTTTTTTCACCCTGTCAACTTTTCCCATCCTGCTTTAATGCTTCAAAACAGAATAAAAAAAATGTATGCATAATATGTATTAAATATAACTACCTTTTTCCCCAGCTTCTTCCCACAGTGCCTAGGCAAGAGTCACATCATGCTCCTTCTAGTGAGATCCTGGG